GGGCCGAAACGTAAAGTTGCGAGGTATAGGAAAAAGCGTGTAAAAGCTGGATGCTTCAAAGGGGCCCACTGGCCCGCAGAGCGAATAGGTTAACTGCGCAGGCTCGAAACGCCGGCCGAAATGAGGGAGAGATCCGTCCGGCACGGCCGAGCGAGACGCAGACAGAGATATACGGTATGAAAGAGAGGATACGTTTCTCTCACTCCCACCAGAGATTTTTCGCAGCATCGCTGGAGCGAACGATAGAAACATTTAAAAAAATGAAGAATGACGATTGGCGAAGGAAGTAGGCTGATGTATACTTGAAAGCCCACCTTCGCAACGTCATTCGTTATCTTAAGCATTTTATCGCCCTGTTTTCTTTACGTTCATTGACCACTTGTAGCGAAGCTAGGCATGACTTTCGGCGAATCTCCTGCTGGACCGAAAAATAGGGAACGGCAATCACTCCCATTTTCTTGAAGGAGCAGGCGTGGGTGGGGTGGCTTCGCTGCAAGTAGTCCATGAAAATAAACAAAACAGCGATGAAATGCTTGACATAGCGAATGACGAACGAGGGTGGGCTTTCAAGTATTCAAATCAGTCTACTTCCTTCACCAATCATTTCTTCATTTTTCAAAATGCTTCTATCGGTCGCCCTATTGTAATGACGATTAAATTCGAATGCAATTCCATAATGAACGACGAGGGAGGGCAGGAATATTTTTAATTCATATTCCCGAAGAACAAGTTTCTTGCAAAAAGAAAATTTTTATTATGCTCTTGAAGATGTACCACTTATGTACCGTTCGAAATTGTTATTGCACGAACACATGCAATGAAAATAGCCATTCGGAGTCGCAAGCAGGTTTCGGTTATCGAAAAAAATAAAAACATGTGACGTCTTGTACAATATTATTTTCTTCGAAGATTTCCTAAATATGATCATTTAAAAGTACGAAACAGAATTTAAAACGAACGGCAATGAAAACTGTGAAACAAAAGACGATCGCAATAATGCTTTACAACCTGACCGTCGCCTTCACGTTCTCGTTGTAGCAGTTTATAGAATTTATTTGTAAATAAAAAATATAATCAATATGACGTCTTGGGCTGCTGTGGCTCATTTTGAAATTTCACGAACGATACAAAATTTCACTATCTGCTTTAATGGTAAATTGAAATCCAAAAGTAATCATAATTTGTTCAAATTGGAAGACAGCTTGTGGAAAATGTCGGATGACCCCCGTAAGCTTGTATTGTTACGTGCTGCAAGACAGAAATGCAATTTTTCAATCGTATAAATAAATTCGAGATGTAATTGTATTTAGTGATACCAAAGATAAATCTTCGAGTGAAGCAGATGATACATTTCAGGATAAAGAAATTTGTGATAGCGATTTCTCTGTACACTCACAGGATGAAAAATATTCATGTACAGATAAGTTATTAAACTTCCAACTAACCTTTAGAAAAGAGCAGTAGGTGTCAATCAAGTCAGTAGGAAGAGTCGACCAAACTAGAAACTACAAATACTATTCTTTGCCCAAAGACTGGACTTATATTTTATCAGAATTGATCTACGAAATTCAGAAACTTCCTTATGTACTGCAAAAGAAGACGAGTACATGATTAGAATAAACGGCTCTTGTACAGAAAAATGTTGTAAAGCTGCAATTTATGGTGAATCTGTTAGAGCAATCGGTTTATTTTTTTCTCAGTTTCAAACTCGCTATGTATAATGCTTGTATACAAATTTGGAACGGTAATCATGTAACGTTTACTTTGTTTATGTTGTGATGATGCGGACGTCGGAGCACTAGCGATCACCGTTTTTAAATTAACTGACAACTGCCGACCTTCGTTGGCAGTCCTCACCGTTCTCACTCGCAAATCATTTGTCAAAGCGATCACATCTCGTGCAAGTGCTCTATTCGAATAAAGTTTAACGGTCTCGTAGACATAATTTTCTTTTCTCAATTCGAACTTATCAATCCGATTTACTTATCCACAGGACCTACTGAGTTCTCAAAATATTTTATAGTCCTTCGAACCGGATCCGGTGGAAAAGAGTGCGAAAATTAACTTAGACGAATATTAAGACACGCGTGTGAAGCACAAGTGAATATTCTCTCATTTCCTCTCTCTCGTTTCCACGATTTCTCTCTATCGTCTTAGTAAAAAGAAGCTCGCGAGATCTAAGTAATTCTCCGCGTTTTTTCAAACGGAGTTCTCTCAACTCGAAAGTTCTACGTAATCCTGCGCCGTTTCGAAAAGATTGAGTTATGTCTAATTTAATAACCGCACTTATTGTTAAGCAAAACAATCTTTTTAGATTAATATCGCGAGCAGTAACGAGTGAAAAAACGAGTTTCTGAGCAGATTCAGACAAGAATCGAGGTGCTCGATTCCAACTGGAATCGTTTTTAAACCAATCATGACATGCTCGGAACGTTAAAATCGGATGGACGTTCAATGGTGGACTATTTCACGCAAGACATTTGCGCGCAGTGCGAAGAAGAGTACGTCAATCAGAAAAGTGAGTTGCTCGCTTATTTAAATGATCTTAAAAAGGAAATCGAACAATCCTCGTACAGTGCGAATACATCGCGGTCGGAACATCTCGCTTCGAATTCTTGACAACTGCCGCGAATTAATTTGCCTCGATTTTCGGGATCGTATCGCGAGTGGAGTTTAGCATTTAGCAGGAAAATGTGTAATACTCTTGACATTCAGTATGTACAATTTATTGTTCATTATCAACTACGATATTCTTAAAAATAATATATGCATAACAAAAATTAGGTAATATATATAATATATAAGTTTGTTATAAACGATATATATACACATTCAATAACGTTGGAGAGGTAAAAACTACCATCTATTATTACTTCTCCTGCCACCTCCATAACCACCGCCTCTGCTATCCATTCTTTCGGATTGTTTTTCGGCCGCCCGTTTCTTCTTCCACGCCTCATACCTTTCAGCCATTTGGTTTAATTCTTTAGGTACTTCCTGTACACAGAAATATTTATATATTTTAACTATTAATTTGAATCTTGACGCAAATGTACAAATATTTTATGACGTACTTGATTAGCCTCTTCCAAAAGATTGATTAATTCTTGTGCATTCGACCAGTCTTTTCTTGTCATGAATGATATACTTTCTCCGGTGCGGCCGGCACGACCGGTACGACCCACTCTGTGAACATACTCCTCTATATCCCGTGGAAAATCATAATTCAAGACATGTCTGGAAAAAAATATTTTTTATATTAAACATTGGTGTACGAAGAGATTGTAGTTCTAAGTATAACAATTAAACACATACGTAACGTCTTCTATATCAATACCCCGACTAGCAACATCGGTTGCTAAAAGAATCTGAACCTCGCCAGTCTTTAAGTCTTCTAAAGCTTGTTCTCTATCGCTCTGCTCTCTTCCTCCGTGTATACTTTGACATTTAACACCATCTAATGCTAAATCACTTGATACATCGTCGACCTTACATTTTTTTCCGAAAAATACCATCACTTTATCGGTAGGAGCCATGTTATGGAAAAATTTATACATCTGTGGAGAACACTAACTATTATCCATGTCTTTTTGAAACACGGTCTAAAAGATTTTATGTAATATTAACCATGTTCGTCTTTTCTTCTTCGTCGATTATAAATATTTTTTGAACGACTGTGTGCACAGTCGCCAAGTCGAGAGATCCAACAAAGACTTGGATCGGATTTTTCATGTAAGATTGAGCTAAACGCCTAACTCCTTGAGGCCATGTAGCACTAAAATTTCAACGTATATAATTTCATTTCTATTGCAAACCAAATCTTTTTCTCAATGTAAAGCTTAAAAATAAGAAACAATTGTAAACCTCGTCATAACTGTTTGTCGATCCGGTCGTATGTCAATTAATGTCTTTCTAATCTGTGGCTCAAAACCCATATCAAGCATACGGTCAGCTTCATCCAACACGAGATATGTAATTGTGGAAATATTTAAAATGTTTGCTTCTACTAGATCATTCAATCTACCAGGCGTTGCAATAACGATTTCGACGCCTTTCGTTACCACATTTATCTGTTCCTTTCTATTTCCGCCTCCGTATATGCATACCCTTTATT